GGTACATAGAACAGTACCTGATAAGTGCTATGTAAACACTAGCTATCTTCATTTATTAAACATATACTACATGCCAAACATTATAATGTAGGGCATAGAGCAAAATATCTAATGCCGGGAGTGATGAGTGCCTGAGGAAAAATAAAGCAGGAAAAAGTGTAGAGCATGGTAGAGGTGTTACCTTTATACAAGGAGGGCAGAAGAGCCTGTCTGATACTTTTCTTTTTTTTCTTTTTTTTAAGTCGACTTAAGAAAGTGAGAGCCAAGGACATGGATGCCTGCGGCAATGAGATCCCTGGCAGAGAGGAGAGAAGGTACTGAGTTCCTGCATGGGCATGGAAAGGTATGTGGAACAGGAAGGAGGTCAGGCACTGGAGCCGACAACAGGGAGAAGAGTGAGTGCTAAGAGAAGAGCAAGAGGCCGAAGGCGGGGAAGAGAGGAGGACCTGCCAAGGAAGACCATGCTGGCCAGGTTAGAGGCTGGTTTCTGTGTTGGTAAGGCAGGAAGTCGCTCACTGGAGGGCTTTGACAGTGGTGATCCAGTGAGGAAACCAGACAGGCGTCGGCTGCACTAGTGGAGACCACTGGGAAGGGTGGTCTAAACAGGACATAATTCTAATATCCAAGAGGCCTCTTCACTCTGCGTTTTCCCCAATTACCCTTTTAACTGGCACTTACTGAACACCCGCTAAGTAAGGAAAAGGCATTAGACTGGGCCATTTTACAGATGTTCTCTCTTACCCTAGCTGTGCAGACCCTTTGGTAAAATAGAGGAACATTGGGATATTAAAGCTCAAGAGATGTTTGCAGTCATCTATTACAACCATGTTATTTTACCGATGTGGAATTGGAAACCCAGAGAGATTGAAAACCCAAGATCCTATGACCAGTTAAGTCAAGAGAAGGGCCTGGGACTCAGGTTGCCTTATTTATAGAAGAGGACTTTCCATCATAGTGGTCGGCAAATTGTGGCTCACGAGCCACATGTGGCTCTTTGGCCCCTTGAGTGTGGCTCTTCTACAAAAATACCACGGCCTGGGTGAGTCTATTTTGAAGAAGTGGCATTAGAAGAAGTTGTTTAAAAAACTGGCTCTCAAAAGAAATTTTAATCGTTGTTCTGTTGATATTTGGCTCTGTTGACTAATGAGTTTGCCGACCAATGTTCTAGATCAGTGTTCATACTGATTTACAAGAACTTACTGTGCCCTTCCCCCCCCCTTTGCTTCTTCTAAATCTAAAAACAGCAACAGTAAAACTTCTTTCAAACCTGTTCTCATTTGTTCATATTTATGAGAATCATTTCTAAAATGAGTACTTTTGAAATTACTAAAATTGTTCTTTGCCTTAGGAAGTCTCTATTGCCATAACCTATTCGCAGGCAGTTCTGCAAATCTACCGCTGATAGAAATACCGCAGACCTTCTCTAATTTGGTATGCCAATCACTTACCAAAATAACTCCTGTAGATTAAAAACAGTATATGTCAGATTCGAGAATGGGCTCAGTCTGCCGTAGCAATAATCCCTTATTATAACAACTTAATATACTCCCTGTTCCTAAGGTAAGGAAGACATAGTATAGAGTCATTCTTGGAACAAATAAAGGTTCTGGAATTGGCAAAGAATATTTTGTTCTTAAGTAAATTGGAAACTTCATATGAGATATTTTCAATGACTGTATTTCTTAATTTGGCATGCCTCAACGAAATGAAGAAGGCAATAAATCTTGTTGAGGGTAAAGCCAGACTCGATAAGAACTCTCTAATGGGTGTCCTCTCCAAACGATAAGGTGGATACTTGTTATGGGCTACTCCTCTTCCTTCCCCACAAGTTCATGTTTACATATGAATCTCTGTTCACAGTCACCACTCAATGTAACTCTCCCTCTAGTACCCTACAGCAAAGCTACTCACTTTAGGCAATAGCTTTCCTTTTTCTCTTGGAAAACTCGGAAGAGATTTTAAGGCTGTGAAGAGCTGAAATACACCCCTGGCCTGGTAAGAACATTTTATAAAACTGACCAGGGGGTGGTCAGCCTGTTCCTGGGATCAGCAATAGAGCTGCTTGTGACACAGTCAGTGTGAAAAGAGTCATTTCCCAATCATATTGTTCATCCCACACATATTAGGAGAGAGGAGAATTCAACTGAGGGCCAATTCTCCCCTAAGGCTTCTTCAGTTTAATTATGACCAGAGTATATTAAACGTCAGTAAGACATCCCCACGGCTCTGCCACTCAGCTCGCAGCAGTAAAAGAATGAGAGGAAACCCTTTCACTACTAAAAAGACAGGGAAGGGTGCTCTTATGGTTCTAAGACACAGTTAAAAATCCAATTTAACTGACCCCAGGCCACCATGCTTCCTGTAAATGAACATCTACTGATCGTTAATTTTGTGCTATTTTACCTTTCATTAAAAAAATGTAATTCAGGTTAAACTCAGTTGTACAGCAAAAAAAGCTCTTGATATTTTGAAGCATTTTGGAACAATTACTTTGACAGGAGCCTCTGACAGTTAAATGACTCCGTTAAATGAATGTTATAGAAGACACGTAATGGTTTTTAGTGAAATATTGAATTTAACCACAAATGAGGAAAAACTAGTCATAAGCATTATGGGTATATTTGAATAATAACATCTTGCTTATGAACCTCCATGGATTCTATAATTTCTAATAATCATGCAATCAGCTAGTTAGACGGTGAGTATGTTTCCTACCTTAGTGCGCTCTACTCTTTTTTGGAGTTTGCTTTTATGGTGCTTTTTTTTTTTTTTAATATATATATTATTGTTTTTTCACAGAGAGAAAGAGAGAGGGATAGAGAGTTAGAAACATCGATGAGAGAGAATCATCAATCACCTGCCTCCTGCACACCCCCCACTGGGGATGTGCCCGCAACCAAGGTACATGCCCTAGACCAGAATCGAACCCAGGACCTTTCAGTCCCCACGCCGACGCTCTATCCACTGAGCCAAACCGGTTTCGGCTATGGTTGTTTTTTTAACCTGAGAAACCAATATGAAAATTTGGAAATGCAACAATTTCCTCCTGTATTGGTTTGATACTCTAGAATTAGGCCAATTCATGAGTTGCTGTCCCACAGCTGAAGTCCTCCGTTTTCCTCACAAGCTGAATGAGATTCTTTCACAAAGTGAAAAATCGGCAAACGGCAGGAGCCTGCTGCCTGAGAACGAGGGAAGTCACTGTACAATAGTGTTTCCTCCATCCGTGGGACTCAACATTCCTTTTCGATTTTTAATTTATTTTTTTCTTTATTGATTAAGGTATTACATATGTGTCCTTATCCCCCCATTGCTCCTCCCGACTCATGCCCTCACCCCCCTGTTGTCTGTGTCCATTGGTTATGCTTAGTTGCATGCATACAAGTCCTTTGGTGATCTCTCCCTCTTACCCCCGCCCTTATTTTATGGATGGAAGGTGAGATAGTATCAAGGCTCTCACATGTTTTCTCATGACTAAGGGCTGAAATATGCGCTGAAATAATAACACTGGTACTGTTCAATTTCCTTTCTAAATTCAATTCCAACGTAAGTGAGAGTGCCCTTGTGATGGGGAAATCCAGCTTATAACATTTCTGGAGAAAAGGGGGGGCTGGAAATCCTTGTAGACTTAAAGCATGTGGGTTTGGAGAAAGTGGGGACGCTTGAATTGGAGAAATGAGTTAGAACAGGAATGTTCTTCATCTTGCTGGTCTGGCAAGTGGGTTGAAAAATCAATGCTCAGCACGCTGGGTGGGATCGCTGGGATCGCTACACACCACGAGCAGCTGCACACCCTGATTCTTCACGCAGCTGAGATACAACCTCCAGGGTCCCACCACTCCCTGCATTCATCTTCATTCAGCAGTTGTCTACTAGTATTTATACTTTCATTGCCTCTCGACAAGTCTGCTCCCCACTAGACAGTCACCCTTGAGGACAGGGAGTGTCTGTTCCGCTTGCATCCCCCAATATTTCTGAGCCATGGTGTGCTGCTCAGTAAATGTAATTTTAAACAAATAAACTTTTTTCTAACTTCAGAAAACATGTGGGAAAGGCCAGATCACTTAAAAATTTGTTATTAGTTCAGATAGAGACCCAGTAGGCTGCTGATATTAGATATGACCTATAACCTTGCTAACTCCATGGGCCAGAAGCATGCCCTCACCAGATGACCTACGGAATCTCGGACGACCCCCTGAGCAGAAACCTGCACTATAACACCATCTCAGGGACTTATGCACAGAGGTTCCGGAAGTGGCTGTCTGGAATCTATGAGGAGTATGATGCCTGAAGAAGTGATGGTGTATATGACTGAGAAATAGAAGGCCGTGGCAATGTGATTAAGCGAGGTCTGCGGAGTAGGTTTTAGCACTCTCCCAGGACAGGGTCACTTAATGCTCACAGGTGGGAAACACACTTACACCAGTTCCCTTGGAACCCTTTCTAGATCCTTCTTTATGCTCCTTCCTGTTTAAAGACACAGCTGCTCTTAATAACCATCTTTCCTCCTTGGTGCAAAGAGAGTATTTATCGTCAGCACACTGACATTTGCAGGAGGGTTGGCTTTCTCCACTGAAAATGTGGATGATTGAAAGGATATTGCTGACACCTGAATAAGAAATCCAATGACTCTAAGCTATGTAAATTTAATTATTTCCGTTAATTTTTTTTTCAGGAATTTCTTTCTCTCCTCTCCCTCCTCCCCCCGACCCCTCAGCTTTGGAGAAGTCCTAGCGATTTTCATTTAAAAGAAATACAAGTCAGCAGTGGTTCACCGAACAGGCTGACATGCAATTTCATAGGGGGAGAGGCGCTGTGTCTTTAATCTAATTTGTGCTCTCAATTCCTGGCTAATGTATCTAGGGACCCTGATGTATGCATTTACAAGGAGACATCTGGGATGCAGAGTCCAGCTCGCTGCAATTCTCTGGAACATGGGTAAAAAATTGCTCTGGATTCCCCCAGCTGCCCCACCACATGATAAATCTGCATATACTCACAGATGTAGAAATATTCCCGGCCTGGCCTGAACTCAAATCCTAGAGAAAAGGGCGTGAAGAGCTGGAATTTCTCGGAGAACTTCAGTGGTCCATTCGGAGAGTGAGGCCGGTTACATTCCCATCGCTTGAAGCCTTTGGAAGTGTGGTCGCAGGCACTGTAGCCGTCAAAGTTCACCATGTAGAGGATGTAGCGCTCGGTCTTGTCTTCTGGGACCGAGTCCTCGTAGTGAGGGCAGAACACATCCAGGTAGTCATTGATGCAGACGTCGATGTGGTAGTCTCCCCGCTGGAATCTGTGGGGAGAAGGAACAGCTGAGATTAGTCACACAGGAAAGGCTTTTGGGGGAGGTGGTTGAACCATTAACAAGGCCTGGTTGGAAATGTTATTGTTTGAAATCAAAGAGACAACACACCAGGGTACAGAGGAATGCTATTGTATTTGTTTCGAAATACCCTACAAATGGAGTCCTTCACATTCATTTTAAGTATGATAGATCCTGATTTGCTGTTTTCCCTTCATCCTTCAAATTGCATATGCTGAAGCAAAGTTTTCTCATTTCTACAAAGTGCTTTATTTCATAAATATTTTTGAACAAATGAATAAGTAATTTAAAGAACAAATAAATGACTGAATTGTTTTTGTGATAATTGAGATCATTCTCAACTTTCTATGCAAACCGAGAGAATTAGAGTCATACAGTTTAAAAGTTGGGAAGAAAACTCCTAGAATAAGATGTACATATTAGAGGAATAAAAACCTAAGGCGTAAGGATGAAGCAGTGAGTGACTGAGCTAGACCTGGGATGGAGCCTTCGGATTCTAGTTAGGTATTTCCCTTAGGACAGTGATCGGCAAACTCATGAGTCAACAGAGCCAAATATCAACAGTACAAAGATTGAAATTTCTTTTGTGAGCCAAATTTTTAAAACTTAAACTTCTTCTAACGCCACTTTTTCAAAATAGACTTGCCCAGGCCTTGGTATTTTGTGGAAGAGCCACACTAACGGGGTCAAAGAGCCACGTGTACCTTGCGAGCCTCAGTTTGCCAACCACGGCCTTAGGAAATCTGTTTATGACACAAAGTTGTTTTCGCTAATCTCTCATTTAATGCCCTGTCCCTTTCTATATTAAGAAAATTGAAACTATCAAATTTGAATGATTTTCTGCCCATTTCTTTTATTCTTATAGGGCCTGTTGTAGGGCTGGACTACTGAGTAATGAAAGCAGTAAGCCACATGAAAATAACAAAAACTAGAGCCACCTCAACCTGAAAGAGTTAAAATGCACACAAACACACACCATTGCACACATCACACCACGGTCTGCTCTGGTTCTTATCTAACAAAAGTCTTGCTTATTTGTTTTGATTAATATGCTTTTCCCATCAACTGAACCGTATTTCTCAGGACCCAGTAATATGTGGAACAGGAATTGGTATGCATACACCTTTCTAAAATCAGGGTGGAAAAGCTAGGGAAAAAATTCTGTTTTTAGTTAGTGAGGAAATTCTTCTCTGAGCTCTTAGAAGGTTCATCATAAAATTGTGTTACTGCTGAAATACAACCCCCATAAAGTCATATAATCTTGAAGTAAGGCAGTCTCAGGGTGAACACTTCCCAGTGAGGGCTAGCTAGTCTATTCCATTTTTGGACATCTCAAAATGTTAGAAAGTCTCTTCTTATATTGAGTATAAATCTGCTTCTGTGTAATTTCGATCCAGTGATCCTACTTCTGCTGCCTGAAATTACCAAGAACAAATCTAATTCTTCTTCCACCAGGTAGTCTATAAAACATTTGGAGGTGTCAGCTATATCACTGTATTCTCCTCTCTCCAGACTGGAGAATCCTGATTCCTTTGGTTATTTCTGGTATCTTTCCCAGACTCCTCACTATTCTAATTTTTGACCCTCAGGTCCTCCATTTTCCCAGTGTTCTCCTTAAAATGCTGCACCCAGCCCAGATGATGCGGCTCAGTGGTTGAGCATTGACCTATGTACCAGGGGGTCCAGTTTCGATTCCAGTCAGGCACATGCCCGGATTGCAAGCTTGATCCCCAGTAAGGGGCATGCAGGAAGCAGCCAATCACTGATTCTTTCTCAACATTAATGTTTCTCTCTCTCTCCCTCTCTTAAATAAATATATATATATATATATATATATATATATATATATATATATATATATATATATATTTTTTAAAGTGCTTCACCAAAATGTAAAAAGACCTTCCATAGGCTATGGTGACTGATGTTCATAAACACTACTACCTTCACTCTAGCTGTTAAATCTTCATTGGCAAAGCCCAGATTCCTTTCTGAAATTCCACATGATAAAAGGGGAAGAGCTAATTTTGAGTGAATAGACTGGTTTCTGCTGCAGGCTGAGTGAGAGCCTCAGAAGCCATCCTCAGCCTCCATTTCCTCGTATGCAATTTGGGATAATAATAATAATAATAATAATAATAATAATCTGCCTTGCTAACCTCACATGGCTGCTTCAAGACTGAGTGGAGGAAGCATATGAAAAGCACTACATGAATGTGTCGCACTGTTACTATGATCAGGATATATAAAAGTATATTTGAATAGGTAATAATAAAATATTAACTTGGAAACAACATCAGTAAGAGCACACAACAGAAATCAAAATAACCTCATGTTTCCCTTGTTTAAAATCCAAAATCTCTCCTCAAATTTCAAATAATTTGCAAACACTCCAGCTGACCCCTGCATTTGAAAAGTAGAGTGCTGATTCACACAAGGGGAATAAAGAGAGATGGCCAGATTACTTTTCAGTGAGAGGGTCTCCAAATACCACCAACTTTTAAAAACAAACAAACAAACAAACAAACGGAAAGTGTTTATTTCTGTGTATTTACAGTGATCCCAGAACCAAGTTTACTTTTTCTTCATTACCGGCAGACAATTTGTCAACATGCAAGCAAAGCCTGTGTTGCTTTTAAAAGATTTCTGAACATCAAGGTAACATCACTGCCAAAGTACAAAGAAAAGACACTGCCACGTTCAGATAAAAGGGTGCTGGGCTATGAATCATCAGCACTCAAGAGCAGCCTGACAAGCACTGGACGAGAGCCAGACAGGAGCCGCAGCAGAAGGCAATGCCCAGATGCACTTTGTATTATTATATTATTATTATAGATTTTAAAGACATGCTAGGGGGGTGTTTTTCCTTTCCCTAAGTGTCACTCATTTGAGCTTCTGCTAGCACTCAATACAGCTTAAAAGTAAAAATAAAAATGAAAGCCGCCATTGTCCGGACCCATTCTTATTATTGCTTTAGTCTACAAATTGTCATAGGTTTTTTGGATGCCTCATAGTTAGCTTTCCCTTTCCGACTTTTATCCTTTAATCCTGGTGATAATGTTGCTAAGATTTTCATACAACAACCCATAAGACTGGAGACCTGGTTTATACTGGGTTGACCAGTTATCCTTTTCTGGTGACATTTCTAGGTGGGGTGTTAAGTGAATCACTATGAAACCTATTTTAAAAAATGGGATTGCCCAGGAGTTAGTATTTTCTACTCTTATATTCATACAACAAAATTAAAATGATGATTCAGCATGAATCTTATGCTAAGTTTCAGATCTTTAACGCAAATTAATTTACAGACATAAATTTCAAAGGTGGGCCAATATAAACTAAAACAATGAGGACTTCAAACTCATAAAAGGCATCTGGATAATGTACCAAGTACAATCCAAAGAAAAGTTTAGGGTTAAATATTTATATACTGTCCCACATCACGCTCTCTGGCTACAAAGCTCTGAACCATTGCTTCCTGGCCTTCCTCTGAAGGAGCACATCCTAGTATGTATGGCTAATATTATTGAGTGCTTATTTTATTACACCCATTAATTCAACTTAACTTCCATCATCAATCCCACAGAATAGTCGTTATTTGTATACCACTTAAAGATGAGAAAGCTGAGATTAAGAAGTCAATCAATCCGCTCAATGTTACACAAATGGAAAAAGGTGGAGGGAGAATCCAAACCCAAGCAGCCCACGTTCTGACCTCCTAACTGAAGCTCTCCACTATCCCACTTCCTGAGAGAGTAAGTTGCAAGCATCCAGCTTTTAGGTCTGCTCTGTATTCCCCGAGAGAGATTATTCTCTTTCTTGATGGGTTTCAGTTCTCTTCTTCATTCACTGATGCAGCAAATATTTGCCACATCCAAATATGGCTTTAAATATGTTGCATATTACTGAGTGGTTATAAGTGCCCTTTTTTTTTTTTTTTTTTTTTTTTTTTTTTTTTTTTTTTTTACCATTGAGGAAATGACTTTCAGAGAAGTTGTTATCCTCAGTTTAATTTTCTCCTCAGGAAAGATGTAGCAAGGTTAGGATTTCAACCCAAGTCTCACATGGTTCTGAAGTGTATTCTCTTTCCTCCACAAGGGCTCCAAAGCGTTACCAGTGAACTGCCCTCCTGCAGCTTGTACTGATCTTCTAGGAAAGCCTGCTGCAAGGCTGAGTGTGTTGATCCACTAGATTGATCCCACACTCCTAAACTGGAGACAGAAGGGTGCAACCGAATTTAGAATAAGCCTCAGATCACAGCATCAGCACCCAAATCACACACACACATCACTTCAGTCTTTCCTAGACAAAAGTGATGTTAGGCTTTCTCATAAAAATATATATTTTTTTCCATCCGGAAACAGCTTTCATGAGCTTTAGCTCATTTTAAAAGAGCAAATTGACCTCAAGGAAGAATGATTCCACATGCCAGTATTTACAAATACCATGAGTAGCACGACCTCTTTTAACACACCTGTAAATTTCTCAGAAATATGTCCTCTTTACTCTTCATTCTTAATGTCATCCATTGTATCTATGGATCTCTGCCTCTCTGAGATCACTGCATATTATGAACGTATTACCCACAAGCCAACAAGAATTATAATATAATCTTTGCTAAATTGTCACAGTGAATTATAATATAAAGGCATGCATAGTTATGACACTTGGAAAAGTGATTGTGTTGGAGTAAAATGATTGCTAACCTGGTTGTGTTCTCATAACACAGAAATCTCAAGTGCCCAAAACATCTCATAAGCTTAGAATGATGGCCCTTGTTCTCTACTGGGTAACAGATCAATGCTCCTTATAACATACTAAACAGTACATGTACTCTGTTATGGCAAAAATACATTGTACATATTAATCAATTTGCAGAAGACTGGTTGAAAATGTCATACATATTATGGAAGGGTCATTTTAGTTAATTAAGAAGAAGAAAATTCTGCATTGAAACTTGTTCTCTGTAA